CTTTTTTTTTTTTTTTTGCAGTTTTTGCCTGGGGCTGGGTTTGAACCCACCACCTCCGGCATATGGGGCCAGCGCCCTACTCCTTTGAGCCGCAGGCGGCAGCCCTGTTTCCCTTTTTTCTGCGTGTGTGTGTGTACACGCACACGCACGATGGGGTCTCAGGGTATCGTCCTGCATTTTCAGGTTGCTGGGACTACAGGTGCGTCAGCATGCCCGGCCCTTTTCCTTATATATATGCCCTGGACAGGTCAGTACCTACAGAACTGGCCTCAATTAATTTGTGCCATGGATGTGAAGACCTGTGGTCACACTTCAGGGCCTGGGCGTGCCTGGTGTCTCGAATAATTCTGGAGGCTGTGTCTCCCTTTTCTCTCCTTGCCTGTCACCATCTCCCCAGTTCTCACCCTTGATGACTATTCCAAGCTGCTTGGTTGGCCTGGGGAGCTTAGCACTGGGATGGCTGTCTGTGGGTACAATCCCCGGAGACAGAGCTTTTGCGCTGCTTTTCTCCTCATTAACACATGGATTGCCTTCCCTGAATTGTCTGCCTCTGAATAGTAATTTCTGACAGCTGCGGAAGCAGTGCTGCCTGACTCAGCCAGGATATGTGTGGCTCCACCCCCCACAACGGCTCCTGAGGGGGACACTGGCCTGGAGCACAGTGCCTGGAAGGTGTTTCCTTGCTTTTCGTACCTGTACTTCTGGCTTTTTTTGATTAAAAAAGACAGGGTTAGTTGATATTGATCTCTATTTGTTAGCATCTCTGGCCTATTCCTAAGATCGGAGTCTTCCCAGTAATTTTAAAGACTAAATTGGGGGAAATACTGCATCCTCGCAGCATGAGCAGCAGATGAAAACAGACGTTAAAGTCCTGGCATGGACCAGTGGTCAGGACACCTTGCTCCTGAGGCTGCCTACCTCCCCTGTTTCCCTGATGGATTATCTGTAACTCTAAGGGTTGTCTTGCCTGGGACAAGTGACTTTTAGGCCCACGCTGTCCCCTTCAGTAGCTTCCAGCTGCTGTGGCTGCTGAGAAATGCGGGTATTCCAAACTGAGATCAATCACAGTGATAAAATACCAGGTTTCAAAGACTTGATTCAAGAAAAAGCAAAATTTGATTAATTTTTGTATATTGTTTACATGTTGAAGTACTAATATCCAAATATGTTGACATACTGAGTTAAACATATACAGTGAATCTTACCTATTCTTTTAATGTGGTTATTGGGCAGTTTTGCATTCTCTATGCCCTTTCTGTACTTCTGTTGGACTGTGCTGACTGAGGCCTGCAGAGGCCCTGTGCACAGACAGAAAACAAAGCCGGTGAGTCAAGGGGCAAGTGCTCGGCAGGGTCTTTAATTTCTAGAATTTTTTTTTTTTAAATCTAAGGAAACTTTATTTTATTTTTTGGGAGATAGCAGCTCGCTCTTGCCCCAGGCCAGAGTGCAGTGGCATCATCATAGCTCACGGCAGCCTCAAACTCTTGGTCTCAAGTGACCCTCCTGCTTCAGCCTCCTGAGTAGGTGAGACTCCGGTAGGCACCACCATGCGTAGCTAACTTGGGGGTCTCACTTTTGCTCAGGCTGGTTTTGAACTCCTGGCCTCATGCAGTCCTCCCGCCTCCACCTACCAGAGTGCTGGGATTATAGGCATGAGCCACCGTGCTCAACCTAAGGACACTTTTATCCATGCCTTGTTTGAGTAAGTTTTCTACAGCCTTCACGGCCTATTACACACTTGCTTTGCTAGTGCTGTCTCTTTGAGAAACGGTAAAACTGCCTGATAATCTTCACTGTTGGCAGCCTTTAAGACTTTTTAAAATGTCAGTACACTTGATGTCAAAATTAATAAATTTTAATCAAGTTGGAAGACACATTGTATAAAATAATTAGGGCACTATTTCCTATAATCAATAACAAATTCAAAGCAATCCAAAAGGAGTTGGTTTTTTTGAGACAGAGCCTCAAGCTGTCCCCCTGGGTAGAGTGCTGTGGCATCACAAATCACAGCAACCTCCAACTCCTGGGCTCAGGCGAGTCTCCTGCCTCAGCCTCCCAAGTAGCTGGGACCACAGGCACCCACCACAACACCTGGCTATTTTTTTTTTTTTTGGTTGCAGCTGTCATTGTTGTTTGGCGGGCCCGGGCTGGATTCGAACCCACCACCTTAGGTGTATGTGGCTGGCGCCTTAGCCACTTGAGCCACAGGCGCTGAGCCCCAAAAGGAGTTTTTAAAAAATGTTTTGATCAATAACACTATGGGTGGAATAAATATATAACTTCCCAGGAGACTATAAGGTTTGTAAGTCCTTTAAGTTACTGTAGTTATGTTTGAATATGTGAATCAATGAGACCGGAGTGAATGTGGGCTGCACAGAAGGTGACGGGCGACAGTGATGCTGTTTGTGTTGTGGATGGGGAAGAGGCCGCAACAGAGCCGAGCCCAGCTAGGGGCCAGACCGCTTTCCTCATCTCCACAGATGCTCGTGTCCAACATTGACTTGGGCCCCACCATTCTGGACATCGCTGGCTACAGCCTCAATAAGACGCAGATGGATGGAATGTCCTTACTGCCTCTCTTGGTGAGTAGGAAGCCCTCAGTCAGGTCTGAGCCATGGTCCACATAAATTCCAGGGTGGGTGAAGACTTAAAAATTTAAATCTTAAATGATTCTGTTTTAAAATTGGGGGGCAGAGAATAGAATTTTTCTCTGATCTTGTGGTGGGAAAAAATTTTCTAAAAGAAAAGATTGGACCACACAAATTTTATTCTCTTTCCTTCCTCCTTCCCCTGCTTACCTCCAAATACCCACAGTAAGTAAAGACAGGGGACAAATGGGGAAAATATTTGTATCTTAAGTAAAAAAGAAAAACTAGTCCTAATATGAGTTCTTAGCAAAGATTGACATCCCAGTAGAAAAATAGGATCCCTGATCAACTAATCAACTCACAGAAGAATTAAAGATGGCCAAAGTAAATGCAGAAACTTAATTCAGTGCTAATCTAAGAAATAGTTACCTGAAGGAGGCCTCTGTCATCTCTGAACTGGCAGAAATTTAAAAGATTAACATCCAGTGTCTGCGTAAGTCTGAGAAATTGGAAATTACCCTTATACTTTTCACAAAAGTATGATCAGGTGGCCAGTTTAACAAGACGTACCACTTCTTTTACACACATCTAGCAAGCCACCTGAAAACAGAGGTACACGTATTAAGAGGAGGAAACGGGGGCAGTGCCTATGGATCAAAGGAGTAGGACACCGGCTCCATATACTGGAGGTGGCGAGTTCAAACCCAGGCCTGGCAAAAAACTGTAAAAAAAGAAAAAAAAAACAAAGAGGAAGAAATGGAAAACTTCAATATCCAGGAGCAGATTGATTGAACTGTGGGGAAATTAAACAGTGGGTGTGGGGCAGCGCCTGTGGCTCAAAGGAGTAGTGTACCAGCCCCATATGCCAGAGGTGGCGGGTTCAAACCCAGCCCCAGCCACAATGTAATTAAACAGTAGGTGTGCGTGGTGACTTGGGAAGAGGACAGGACCCTCAGGCAGCAACTCTTCCTGTTTAGAGCATGTAAACGTTTCAGCACAGAGAAGCCTGGAACAACTGGCACTGAAGTGTCAGTGTTCGTGGGGACCTTGATCAGTGGTGTGTCTGTGATGGTCTGGCCTCCGAACTTTATGCCCTCAGTGTGCCTGCTGACCCCTCAGTGACTCGGGGACTCAGCTTCCTCCCTCCCTCTGTGGAGGCTCAGCCGGTGCTCTGTCCACAGATATGACTCTCCTTACACTGGCACCGCTTTGTCTGATAAAGTCACACGATTCAGTCTTCACATGGACACTCCTCTGTCCTCACTGTTTTGTGGGGATCCTGGTTACCTCTCTTCTATGTAAACATTACAGTCAGCTTTCAGATTAGCTGGAAAATGTTGGCTTTTGGTCAGAAAAACATTTAATCTGTAGCATGGTCAGGGGAAAATTTATATCTTTTAACTTATTTCATACAGGCTTTGTCTGCCTGATTGTACTTAATTCTAATTAGAAAAGAAAAATGTGATTCACTCTAAGGGTAAAAATCATTACACTGCAGAATTTCTCTGCATCATTCTGAAGGTGCCACTTAGGACCTGGCTCTTGTCCCTGCTCATGTTTGGTTTGGGGAGGCTGTTCCAAGAAGTACTAGTAGCCTATGAGGACCGTTAAATAGCCATGTGTGGCTTTTTATCTAAATTACCTAATACAAAGTGCAGTTCAGTTCCTCAGCTGCACTAGCCCCACGCATGCTCAGTAGCCAGCGTCCTGAGCAGGGTGGGTGAGAACACTTCAGTCAGGAAGGCCTGCTGGGCCAGCAGCTGGCAAACCACACCTGACTTTGTGAATGAAGTCGTGTTAGAGAGAGCATGGCCTACTCACCCACTCCCGCATCGCCCACGGTGGACCACACCTGACTCTGTGAATGAAGTCGTGTTA